TGTCGGCTGTTTGAGGTTTCCAGGTTTGGGATGGGAAGGTTGGTTGGAAGCTGCGATAATTGTGGCCAACGATGAAAGGCGTCCAAGGCGCGAGAATACATAGCAAGAAAAATCAAGTCAAGTCAGCTCAAGCGTGCAAGGTAGCCCGTGTGGGGCGCAGGCAAATGTGTGCCTACAACATTGTGTGTTGGGCACGGGTGAGACTAGAAATGCACACAAATTCATTGGTGCACGAACGCGACAGAAGCAGCACAACAAAGCTGCATTCACAGAAATTTGCAGCATGATCCATCCAGCTGCGCCAACCCATGGTTCTGGCGAATGCCCCCAAATTATTTGTCGACCATGTGGTTCCCGGGTCGTCCAGAATTACGAACCCCTTGCGGTGACCCGTCAAAAATACGTTTTGACCCATATGTTCGATGGGAGGCGACTGACATGATGTGTTTATTGCCAATGTTGCCGCAAAACATGCCCCCGACCAACTTTGCATGTGGAAACGTTCCGTGAATTCGCGCACGCGTTGATGCCAGCTACGCAAAAAATCTTATGCCAAGGCATAAATTCTAGTCTAGACCAGGCGGTGGGCCCAACATGCTGCGAAGCAGCCGCCGCCATTTCATGTTGAATTTCTAAATACCTTGGCAATCGCTATAAATATAACCGAGCACTCGCCATTCATTGCGACTTTTGTATGGCAGAGCAGAAAAAAACGCGCAACACACGGACCTAACCCGCGCCTGAGGATAAGGCTAAGGATGAGGAACGGGAGGCTCGGACGGAGCGGTATCCGATCCTTTTCTTTTCTGGAGGCGCCCTTAACTTGGCTCTAAATTCTTCACCTGAGCATGATCGCAACACGATGCATGGCTTTAAGCATGGGCGAAATGGGGTCGGTGCGGGGCCAACGTTACACCAAATGTGGCGAGGCTAGGCGCTCACAATGCTCCATGGGAAGCATCAAGTCAATTTTTATCCTGAGGCGCTACCCGGAGCACACCACGGCTGCCGCAGCAGACACAGGAAAGCAAAAACATGCAGCAACCAGAACCAGAGAAAGGAGCAACTAACAGAGAACAGGGGTCCCAAAAAAACATCTCCAAAACAGAAAGCTTCCGCTGAAGATCTTTGTTTGATTGAAAAATTCGTCGCCCACCGGTTCACATGCAGCATCCTTGCTCGTCGCATCCTGATGTTGCTCGTCGAAGATCGGGCAAACCCATAACCCATGTGGGATGAAGGGGGAACGCGAAACAGGACTAGGCGGCGGCGGCGCTCTGATCTAAACAGCTCAAGGTGACTCAAGTGCCGTCCGTGGCTTTGAAGGTGCCCGAAGTTCGGTGACCATCATGTCCTGCCCGTTGGCGTCAAATCCGAAAGGTTTAGGACTTGTGTTTGGCTTGACACGGAGCCCTTTTCAGCTACCCCTGTGTTCGCTGCCTCGTTGGCTGCATGCCTCAGTAAGGCAGCCTCACCCCTGCATCCGCTGCAGGCCTCGGGCTCGAGCTCGGTAGCTGCTCGGAGCATGGCCGCGGGACTATCCGTTCCCGCTCGGGTGCTCAAGGCGTACTGGCATGGGCATGGCCTTATCCAACGCATGGGCGAAGGCACGCGCAAGCGCCCGCGAAACCAATCCACGAAACACAGCGCCCGCGGCTATGCGCGTCAAAATGACGCTGATCGGCACGCCTGCCCGCGCAAAACAATTGGCGGCGAACGCCAAGAGTTCGAGGACCGCAAGGGCGTCAAGCAGCAGTTTGTAATTAATGGTCGATTGTCGCCCCGAACAAGCCAAGTGCCGACCTTCGCTTGGCACTCCTCAAGGCCTCCGCAACCTGTCACGCAGAGAGGGCAACACCCTCAGCCGGCTCGTGGTCCAGGAGTGTCAGCATTGCCAGGGGCCAGAATCGCGTCCCCCGCCGACAGCCGTTGCTCAGTGTGCATCCGTCAGCAGCTGCTCCCACTGGCGCGACCCAAAGAGCTCGACACGCCGTAGGAATGTGGCACGTCCAACGGGGCCAGTGTCGCTGCAGCGGGCCAGGAGCAAGCGCGGCGCCAGCAAGAACAGGCCTCTCGCGCATGGCAACTTGCAGGTCCGCCAAGCAACGGGTGAGGCACCGCAGCACGCCAGCTGTTAAGAACCGGGGCACGAAGCGGAGAGTCGGCAGGCGCTCTCGAAACTCGGCCGACCTGTCGATCGTGCTCAGCCAGGCCAGTGAAGGTCGCGGCCATGCTGGGGATGGGTTGTCGATGGTTGGCGCCTCATCCCAGGCCCCGGCGTCCAAAAGGGCTTGACCTCACTGTCTGCCCTCTCCGTTATGAGGCGTTCATTGCTGTTGGCACTGCGTGTTCGGCAGATCGTTTCGCAGCGCCCTGCAGGTACCGGGCACTTTGGCTGCCGACAGTTCCCCATACGTTACCGTGAGGCAGCGCCCGATGGGCAGAGCTGCTGGGGCTGCCGGAGCTGATGGCGCCGCGGCCTGGCGTAACGCATCCGAAAGGCGGTCAAGGCCTGTCGCCAACGCTTGCCCACCATACACCGTATGGCATGCCTCCCGACCTGCCGCACTGAGGTAACATCCCGACCTGCCGCACTGAGGTAACCATCCGCATGATCTAAGTGGCGCACGACCCAACCTAGGTGCGCGAGTGTGAGAAGGGAGCACGGCTGCCTCCTGGGATGCGTGGACGAAAGCTTCAAGTTGCACGCCGACAGAGATCATACGAGTACCACTCCGGCGCAAAACCCATGCGGTTTGGGTTGTTGCCCAGCTCAATAGACCCCGGGGCGTGTGCTGTGTTTGCCTCGATCAGTGATACGAAGCACAGCACTGTCAACCTCCATTGGTCCGGGCCGCAGGAATCCTGCATGCATCAGCGCAACACTAACATTTCGTCGCTGAACGCTGCACCACCAGGAGAGGGGGCATGCAATCATCAATGAAACGGGCAGCAGCACTGGCTTTGGCTCTTTTCTTGCTCCTGCATGAACCGGAATGGTGCTGATGTTTGTAAGCTGCGGCGCAGATGCCCCGACCCTCCGTGAAAAGGGGCAAATGCTACTAGTACCAGCTCACATGTAGTCCGCTTCACGATGATGCGGCTCGCAAGTTGTCTGATGTGCAGGATTCAGACAGTCGTGGGGAAGAAATGGCCTGCGGCCTCATAAGGATGCTTGTTGCAAGCAGCTGCATCATGAGGTTGCCACTCAGGCGAATTTCAAGCTGTAAGAAACCTTACAAACTTTGCCTGCCGCAAATCTAAGTTTGGCTGGGGAAACTGCAACTATGCTCAACTGCCAGTTGACAAGGTAGGCAACAACCCAAGTTGTGACCCGGTAACATCCTGCAAAGATAGCACGAGTGTTGCGTAATATGCCTGCTCGTACCTAGCTGTGTTAGGTTCAGAATCTGTAACATGCTTTTGTTGCCCAGCAGGGGCGCAAGCAAGTAACCTCAGCATCGCGGGGCGATCTCCAGACCAGGAACGGCTGGAGGCGATTCAAGGCAGAGCTGCCGGCGTGCGAAAACGGGACGGCAGCTCAAGCGCAGACTTCGCACACAGGCAGAGAAGAGCACCCATTGCCCGGGTCCCCGGTGGGTGAAGGCGCACGCGCTTCGGCAGTGAGCAGGCCAGCAGCATAAAGCAGGGGTGGGGAACAGATACATAAGACAGTTGCTACGCGCCGTGGGACAGGAAAAATAGACAGTCTGCAACCCAGGCTTCCGGGTGATCCTTTACAACAATTCGCAGTCAAATAATTCCAAATTCGAAGACTGCCACCCAAAAATGTCCGACTACTGTGGCTTCGCGCTCAAATAGGCTTCTCGCGGCGCTCCGCGAAAATCTCACAACATACGAACTACAGCTCTCTTCATCTCCGTGATCGTCATTTAAACGGGTATTTCGAAACCATTAGTTTCTGGCATACCTGTCGCCTGCGACGTGTTGATATTCAAGCAGCTTTCGTTCAAGCAGCTTCGCCTGCGATCACAGACTGGCCAACAAAAACATTTCCGGTGCGGACGCACTCAAAACTGGCGCTGCCCCATGTTGCGGGTGATCAACGCATGCTTCCAGCGGCTTTGCAGCAGTTCAGGTTGATACCCAAAAGTGAAAGCAGAACTGCCATCAAAAATCTCTTTGGCCTTTGACGGTCTTTGATAAGATAGCATGTGGGACGGCCTCACTCGTCAGGCAGGCCTCTGGCCAGGTGCACACGCATGTGTGGAGAGATCTCCAGGATACCCAAGCAGGGGCTAAGAGCTGGACTTGCAATGCGAGTTGGCGGGGCTTCGTGTTGCCAGCTGTCCGAGTGCCAAGTTTCCCGCGTTGGTGGCTACTTGCTCCAGCTCCAAACTGGGACATCGGTTGATGTCCTCCCTCGTTCGCAAGCCGAGACAAGAAGACCATGCGCTGATATCTCCTGCTGGTTCCTGACTGCTTGTAGCTCATTACAATGCACTTACATGCTGTGATCGCCTTTTGTATCTTTTGCTAAGTCGTTGGCTGCAATGGACAGCCTGGGTCAGGGATTCGCAGCTGTCCTGCATCCCCGAGCAGTGTCGCTCTGGAACACAAGTGCGTCGCCACACGTTGCAAGTTCGCATCAATGAGCAGGTTAAGGTACAGTTTTTACAGGAAGCACTCTTCCTCGCATCAGAAGCATGGGCAAAGCATCTCCAACCTGTGAATGCTGATGTGACAACATTCCCAAACACCATGTTACGAGGATCTCCCGGCCAAAGCAGTCATCTAGACTGAAATCGTCGTCCATGCGACATCACGCGAGAGCCAGCTTTGCATGCGCGTGCCAGCACCCAGAAGTCTTCAGCTACTCTCATCCTGCTTGCTCTCACGACCGTGTCCGTGGGCTGGATGTTATACCAAACAGGGGCTCCGTTGCAGCTTTGCCAGAGCCTTGCTGTATCTCAGGCTGGTTGCCGACCAATTTCCTACCTCAAGATGTGAATCGTCTGCGGAAGAGGAAATGCAAGTGGCTACCCTGCCCAGGATCGCTCAAGCTGGTAGCCCAGCTCAACTGCAGCATCATCGAACATCGAGAAGTTGCGGAGCACAGGAAACGACTCCTGCGAATCATTTGCCAGTTTCCAGGATTTTTTGTTTGTTGGGGGTCGCTTTCCTATATTTAAATGCGTGACAGCACAAATTAGTCTTGCTTTCGGTTGCTAGCAATTCAATTCAAATGACCTTTGCTGTCCCATCTATGTGTCCTCCCCGTCATACAGCGTTCTGCGTCCACCCAGAGCTTGAACATAGTGATTTGCCCGCCATCTTGCCGGGTCCATCCAGTGACTCTCTTGCATCATGGGCCCAGCAAACTCACGGAACTGCCCGCTTGGACAGGGGAATGGGCTCTTCAGCAAGTTTGAATGCAGCGGGGCTTCATGACGAACAATTAGGGTGCTCAGCGCGACATCATCAATCAGCGACGGCTTCGCAATGATCACAAATTCTTTGGTACTGCCGTGCTTCTCCGGGCGCACCACCGGATCGTTGTGGTATGGGAAGCGCACAAACCTGGGCTGCAGCGGAGTGTAGCAGGCTCCGCTTAGAGACCTCTTTTAAATGCTGTTCGAAATCTGAGTGCCTCGCAGATTGCTATCCGCTGCTGCCTGCTCAGTCCACGTGTAACGGATGGTGGGCAGTGGGCAGAACACATTTTTACGTACATGAGGTCATTGCAGCGAAACGGCTGACGGAGTTCGTTCAAGACTTGGCTTGCAGCAAAGTTTAAGGCAACAGAAGACACTCCTGCAGGAAGCATGATCGACATAATCCGGCGTCTATTTTACGTTGTCCCCAAAATAAAAAAGAACTGATGCCTCGAATCTCCGAAACTTGGGTGTGACTAGAGTCACTAGAGGCATCTTCTAAGACTGACAGCACACCCTGATGATCCCTGATGCGCTTGGAGCTGTAGACTCTTGACTCTACCACATCTTGACTCCACCGCGGGAAGTCGGGACATGCTGCGATGACTAGCTTTCATTGAAACGAGGTGAGGCGTGAGGTGAGGAGGGGAAAATCTTGAAATATTGCCCCGCCATCCACAATGCAGTGAGGGCATGACAACAAATAGCCAGTAAACCATAGTAACGCAAGGCATCAGTGAAGTTTCGAGCTGAAGGGATGCACGGTGAGGGCACCCAAACTTCGAGAATTCCTCGCGCCTCTGCAGGTTTGGCATCGTTGGGGTCACCATATCGGACGCCCAAGATGTTGGTGACCTGATCTGGCGGCAGCTCCTGGAAGAAGAACCAGAACTCTGCAACACTTGGCAAGCTACAATCGGTCCTCCAGCAGATCCTTCAGAGTTCGACCCGCCGGGGAGAAGAGGAACATGTCCCAACCATGGTTAAGCGAGATAACCTCAGCGAAATCAAAATGTGAAGATGATAATCTATTGCCGATTGCGGGCCGCTGAGGGGATGGCCCAATCAGCAGTCTCCCTGGCTTGCTGCCAACAGTGGTGCTGCACAAGGGCTTGTACCATGTGCGTCGTGGAGGTTTTGTAGCCTTCCAAGTTGAAGACATCCTTCAGCGGCGGAATGTCCGCGAAGGAGTTCTCGTAAGCAAGACGCCCCTGCGCACGAAGTTCTTCTACGAGAGGGAGGTGCTCGAAAGACCCATCGAGGTCGTAGACATATATCACATCGACACCCAGATGCTCGCTGTAGTACCGGAACCAGAACTCCACCAGGCCTGGTGCCTTCT